AATACTTGTGAATCTTGAAGCAGATCAAGCGGTGCAAGAAGCCAGGTTTGCCGGAGCGTGTCAGGACCAACACGCAGGCCGTCCTGTACCTAGCTTGTGGCGAAAGGAAATCAAGCGGTGCAACAAGCCGCGGCAAGCGTGTTTCTCTCCTGCTGGGATTTGGCGAAAGGAAATTAATCGGTGCAACAAACCAAGGTTACGGGGCTTGGGGGGCTTGGGGCCCAGGGCCCCGGGCCATCAGGGGCTTGGGGCCCAGGCCACCAGAGCAGGAAGCGGGGAGACGGCTGAAACGGGATTCCCCCCCTACCCAAAAGCAGAACGTTTTCACCCTGTCCGTTACTGAAACCATCCAACACGCCCCCCAAGGTCGGCGGATAGTAGTTTCCATTCTCTTTTCCATTATCCCAATATAAACCAATAAAAACTCTATCTACTTAAGGGGGACTATAAGCCTGAAACCCGCCTGACCAGCTTTTGGTCTGAGGGTTTTTAGGGTTTTAGGGTTTTAGGGTTTTAGGGTTTTGGGGGTTTTGGGTTTTGGTGGGATTAGGTTTTAGGGTTTGTTTTTTTGGTGTTTACGGGAACCCTAAAACCCTTTTAGGGTTTTGGGCTCTGACCATCATTCCCTTCAGGCTTCTCGTCGATTGCCGGTGCTTGTTGCGGTCTCCCGCGGACCTTCCCATTTAGGGTCTAGGGTTTAGGGTTGTGAAGACGCAGACCCCGTATACCCACAACATAGTTACACTTAGATCCTCTCTTTGCTAGGCTCTTGGCCTTCAGTACCTATCAGCAATTACCTACGGTTTGGTCGTAACTCTTCGTAGTTGCTAGGTATAAGTTCACCCATATCCATATACTCACACAACTGTAGGTAATTAGGGTAACAGGCAAACCTTAAATACCAAACCAGTCCCTGAACCGAACCCCTAAACCCCAAACCCTAGACCCTAAACCCTAAACCCTAAATAGTAGTTTCCATGTTCTTTTCCCTTATCCCAATGTATAGCCCCAATATACCCTAAACCCTTAGCTCTAGACCCCAAGCCCTAAACCCTAAACCCTAAACCCCTCTTTCCAGGGCCTTTGCTTGAAGTGCTCGCTGCCATGGCTTTCCGTGGTGGGCAACTTTCGGCAAGGGTGCTGAAAAGGAGTCCTGTGAGATATGCTCCAGCAGGTTGAGGAGTTCACGGGTATAGAGTTGGGGCTTTGCATTTAGGGTTTAGCGTTTAGGGTTCAGGATGGGTTAAGGGGTTTGGGGTCTGGCACCTGGGGTCAACGGTTTGCATTAAAAAGGGTTTAGGGTTTGGGGTTTGGCAATGGCGGAGCCTTTTTTAAGCTCAGGGAAGGTCAAGTAAGAGGGTGCCCTAAACCCTACACTCTAAACCCTAAACCCCAAAGCATCTAGCCAAATGCGACTGCGAGTCAAACTTTAGTGGGGTGCTTTCATGCACAGCGATGCCCAGAGTTCTGGTACAATCCTCGAAAATTGCCGTCCTGGGTTTTACACAGGGATATATACTATAATCCCCAAAAACCCCAAACCCGAAACCCCAAACCCTAAACCGTAGTATTCTATAAGAAGAATAGCGTCCTACACGGTGCAAGCACCCACATATACCCTTCAAGTGAGCTATAGTCAAAACTCCTAGTATCCCCCTTCATAACCCTTATACCATCCCCTGCAGAACCCCCTTCACTGAGTTTAGACCTTACACCCTAAACCCTAGACCCTAAACCCTAAACCTTAAACCCTATATAATGGGGCTTAGACTGTAGCTCAACTGGGTCCGCCTGAGGCCCTCTAAGCTTCTCAGGTTTCCTTGAAGTAGGGTGGTTTGGTTGTGGATAGGTGTATATGAGCTGTATTCTAAACTCCATAAGGGGGCTTATATAGGGGATTGTATAGAAGACTATTGTAGGGTTATTAAGGGGGATACTTGGAGACTAGCCTATTTCTCATATAAGGTTCCTTACGAATATCGGGGAGTGTATGTTGGGTGTTCACTTGGGGAAACTAACAACGTTAGGTTACCACCCCTGGCGCAACGCAGAAGATGGCTCTAGAATAATAAGGATATATAGGGTTTAGGGTTTACGGTTGGTGCGCAAGCTGTTCAACCTCGCGGGAGCTTGGAGGCTACAGATGGCGTCAGCTGCCAAAATTCCTGCGTCTCCCTCCTCACTCAAAAGTTAGCTTCTACAATATTGTTCTTATGTTGGGATAATGGAAAATAAGATGGAAACTACTACAATATTTGTATTATGTTGATTTTCGCCACATACCTTAAGAACTATAGGACTACAGTATGCTAAGGTCATGCAGGACTTTATGAGTATCAACCCTCTCTCACGGTTTCCGGAGTGCGCCCTAAGCTCTAAGCATTGTGTGAAGCAACACAGATTCGCGTACAGAAGCAGGCGACTGCAGTTGCATCCAGTGGGGCTAACACTGCATTGGGTTGCTGTTAAGACCTTCAAACAAAATCCTTAACCCTAACCCTAGTTCCCCAATCCCGAACTCATACAGCGCAACCCAGAAACCCTAAACCCTATATCCCTAACCCCAAATTCGTAAGGCAAAGCCCAAAATATAAGCTCGAAGCCTACATCGTGAGGGCTGGAGTTCCAAGCCCTGAACCCACTTAACTCATTTAGGGTTTAGGATTTAGGGTTTGGGGTTTGGGCTTTGGTGTTTAGGGTTTAGGGCGTTCAGGGCGTTTAGGGTTTAAACCCGAAAAGCGGCTTCTGCAAATTTCCAGCCCCAGAGCCTATACTATACACTCCAAACCCCAGACCATAGACCGGCACTCCTGTACTAAAACTCCCTCAGCCTCAAAACCTAAAGCCCTAAACCTTACCTGTAACCCCAATAACTTGCAGTCTTATGGGTTATACCTACTAATTAAAGGGTACTTACTATTAAACTGTAGGTTATTGGAGCCACAGGTAATTCCTAAACCCTAAACCCTAAATCCTAAACCCTAGTTCCACAACACCAAACTCCCGCGCGCCCAAGAGGAGCACTCGGGGCCTTCGCTGCACCGGCAGCGCTGCCGGAGGAGGCAGAGAGGAGCCGCCAAAGGTTTGGGTTTTGGGGCTTATGGTTTTAGCGGCTTTAGGTTTAGAGGTTTTGGGGTTGTTAGGGTTTTGGGGTTTTGGGGTTTAGGGTTAAACAGTTTAGGGTTTACGGGTGTTGGGGTGTAGGGTTTAGAGTTTCGGGAGAACAGTGGCGGAGGTCAAGAGCGGAGCTTCATGTCGAATGTTCCCCTCCCAGGCCTTTGGTGCAAACGCGCCTATATGAGCCATAGTCTAAACTCCTAGTATCCCCCTTAATACCCCTTACAATACTCCCCTATGTAATCCCCTATATAGCCTCCTTTAAGGAGTATAGACTCTAGCTCATGTGGAGGTTTTGGGAGTCTTAATTAGGGCCTTAGGGACAGGGGTTCATGGGGAACCAAGGGTCCATCTTCTGCAGGATTTTAACCCTAAACCCTAAACCCTATAAACCCTAAACCCTAAACCCCCAAAAAATTGCCATCCCGAAGGCCCGATTGGATGTAGAGGACCACCTGGGATGAATACCTCACCCAGTGTCAGGTCACACCCTTAAGTTCCCCTGAGGGTCCAAGGACCCAAATAATAGGGTTTTAGTGTTTGTTAATGGTATTTGGGCCCTAAAACCCTATTATTTGGGTCCTTGGACACTCCAGGTTCTTCTTTGATGCCTGGGAACTTGGCCGGGTGTGTGGAGCAACCCGGCTTTGAGCGCATGATCAAGTCTCATGCTGGCTACGGCTACGCGGCTGGATATGGGTGGTTGTCAAAATTATGGTCCCTTTTGGGATCCCTATTATAATACGGCACCTAATATTTAGGGTACCCAAAAAGGGACGGACCATAATTTTGACGTCCCCCCATATGGTCTCCCCATGCATGTCAGTGGCGGCAGCTGGTACTCCTGCTCGCAGGCTCAGGGCGAGTAGTGCCATCAAGTGACAAATGACTGATTTGCATGGTCATGCATGGTACATGGTGCATGCACAATGATCCATGTGCCAATCTCAACCCGACGGTTTTAGTGTTTTAGCAAGGTTTCACGGTTTAGAAGTTTAGAACTCCTGGCTGAGGATGCATAGGGTTCCAAGCCTGATAGACTTGATGTTCAGGGGTTGGGGTTGGGTTCGGGCTTCATTGTTTAGGACGAAACACATTTCTCTTTCTAAAGTGAACCGTTCTTTGTAGATTCAGCTCACTGCATGCGGGTTGGTTCTGGTTGGTTCTTGGGCAGAAGCTATTTGTTTCTGGTTGGTTTGGGCGTCAATTGCCTCAAGCCCCACACCCTGAGCCTCAATTGTCCCAAGCCCTAGGCCCTGACTTGATAGACCTTACACGCCCCAATCCCAAAACTGACACGGAATCCAACATGTAAGCTGCGCAGGACTGGCACGCTGCCTGGACTGGATCGAGAGTTTGGGGGGTTGCTCTTAAGGAACTTCAGTTAAGTTATTATATTGGGGACCCTATTATTTACTGTATATACTCACTATGGTAACTTAATTTAAGTTCCTTAGCAGCAACCCAGTCATTCCTAGACCCTCCTCCTACACTCTATTAGGGCCTAAGTACCCACTATTAGGGACCATATATCCCCAATTAAGGGTACAAGGAAGGTCCTGGTTCATTCACCCAGTTTAGGGGTCGAAAGGATTGAGGAGCTCGGGTTGAGCCTTGGGCTTCCCAGGGAGCCCACTACCCCTTGACTAAGGAATATAGCCTAAACCATATAAGGGATCTTAGTACCATTTAGGGTATATTCTTTAATGAAGGAGTTTTGGGCTCTTTGGGTTCAGAGTTTAGGGTTTCGTAATTTAGGGAGATGGCTTAGGGTGCAGGGCTTAGGATTTAGGGTTAAGGCCGTAGGGCTTGGGCTTGGGCTTCGGGAGTTGGCTTACTTGGAGGTTCAGGTTAATTCTATTCCAATTCCAACTACCCAGACCCCCTAAAGGATCCAAAAAATGGAACCCCCCAAACTGACTCCCAAGACTACATTGGGAAACCTGGGGGATTATAAGGGGGTTCGATTTTTTGGATCCTTTAAGGGGTCTGGGTAAGTATGACAGATATAGCGGACATAGGGTTGATGTTATATATGGGCGAAACCCTTAACCCCGAACCTTTTCCCTTTCCTGCTTCTGTTTATTCAGCTCCTAGACCCAACGCTCGCAGCCACAGACCCTATTCGGATTCCAATTGCTGGTATCTAGACCCTCAAAGCACGTAGAACACAACAGTGGCTTTTTTAGGGTTCCTGGTGTTTTACCCACTTTTGACTTCCATATTACTTCGCCAATGGAAGAACTGTAAACTTCAGGCCTTCCTTATTTGGTCTTTATATTAAAATTTAAACCTTTTTGGCCCTAGTTATTTGGAAAAAGAGTATATTTTGGGTCATTCCCCCTCCCAGTAACTGTCCTTAAGGGGGCCTTATTGAGGGGGTTTTATAACTCCTATAACCCATTGTGGTAACAGTTACTGTAAGGGGGAATGACCCCAAGTATATTCATGGCCCGACATTCTACTGCAAGCTTTCGATGATCAAGGCCTCGGTTCGCATCTACCAGCTGGCTCAGGCGACTTGCAGGGTTTGGGGTTCGTGCTCCTCGCCATCTGCAGGTAAAAGAAATACAGGGAATGTAATGAACAGATGAGAATAGCAAGATTGTTTCTTGGCTCTCTCTCTTTCTTTCTCTCTCTCTCTCTCTCTCTCTCTCTCTCTCATTTATCCACTGAAGTACAGATCCGTTGGGTCACAGGGCCGGGCTTCAGGGGCTTTCGGTAACAGGGACGGAGGTTTTGGCTAACACGAGGCCGGAGTAAAGCCTGGTCTGAGCTTTTTGAGGGTTTAGGGTTTAGGGTCCATACGGGGGGAGGAACTTTCCTCAGGTTTGCTGTCATGCCGGAGCTTTGTGATTCACACTTGATTGAGCTTACATTTGCCATTTGCAGCGGTGGGCCAATCAAAACGTACTTCGTAGCATCAATTAGGATCCACTGATCCAGTCTATCAGTCTGATCCCTACAGTAAACTCTAGACCCTAGAATCCCATTTTGCGACACCCAGTTGAGTTATGAACTGCACATCCCTGGGTTCTCAAAACCCGAAACTGAGGCTCGGACAGAATCCCCTCCTATTGAACCTTCCACCCCGAAATATTAATATGAACTATTCCCCCGAGCATACGATGAAACTATACTGGAGGATTTTGTTGGGGGGGCGGGGGTTTAGGTTTTCAGGTAATATTCCCGTTGTGGTACGCCGGAATGTCTTGGCAATGTTTAACATCCAGAGGCTGGGGTTTCAGTATGACAGGGAGGGAGACTCTAAACCGTAAACCCCTAAACCCTAAACCTCAAACCCCCAAACCCTTAAACCCCTTGGGTTCGACTGCGACTTCATTACATGGCCGTGGCAAGAATGAATAGAATGGTTTAGTATGTGAGGATTTGAGGATTTCAGGGGTCAGGGGTTTAGGGTTTGAGGGTTTAGGGCTTAAGGTTTGGGGTTCAGGGTTAGCACTCCTCATACGCTAAGGCCAAAACTCCAAAACCTGTTAAATTGGGTAGAAAAGAGCACCAGTTATAACCAGGTCCTCACTTATAACCTCTTATCCCTACTATTAAAGCTAACACGAGTGTTTCGTAATATACCGTAATATACCTGATAGTTTTGAACTCCAAGGCCCTAAGCCCGACACCCTACTCCTCAAACCCTTAGACCTTAAACCCTAATCCCCAAACCCTAAGCCATAAACCCTGTGTAAACTCAAACCTTAAGCCCTAAAAATCAACCCTAAACCCTCATTCCTAAACCCTACACCCTATATAGCCCATTGCCGTAGTTTCCATGTTCTTTTCCACTATCCCTGTAATATTTTGTGTACCCCCTAACATTCGAAAGTCTCTATTGTAATTGCCCAAAGCAAGCCATAGTCTTGGAATCTTCCCATGTATTTCTGCCATCTTGCGGCTTTGGCTTACTTGGCTGGTCATAGGTAACTTCTAACCACACTTCACCTTCTTAGTCTGTTTCGTGGTTCTACAGATTCGGCTTTGGAGTTGAGGGCATGGGTCAAGGGTTCTGTTGTTTTATGACCCCATTCAATAGAAATCCTGGCTGTCATTATGGACTTGGTGGCCCCAATTACTAGAAATCCTAGCTATCATTATGGATTGGGAGGCCCCATTGAAATGGAAATCCTAGCTATTATTACGGACTTGGTGGGCCCCTTTAAGAGTTCAGGGCTTTGTTTTTTGCTATAAATATGTTTCCGCGAAAGCTCGCGATGGGGTGCGCGAAAGGAACTTTGGATTTCCGCGAAGGGGTCATTTTGTTATGAAGTAATTTTGGGCAAATTAAATGTCTATCCTCGGGTATGACATATCTAGGACTGTTGCATATTTGAGATAATACTAAACCCAAGCTCAAGCCATTGAAGCCTTCTGCACAAACCCTGCAACTTCAAGTGATACCTCAGACATTACCCCGGCCTTGTACTGGGCACTCCACAAATTGCAGATACCTCAGGGTCCCTTAAAACACTCTTGTTTTCAGACCCTCCCACATTCCGCAATCGCACCCCATCCTGTGCAAGCTATAACTTTCACCCGACCACACCCTAAGTGGCATGATTTCAGAACCCGAAGCTGATAAGGTCATTTTCAGTGTACATCGTTTTTATACAGAAAAGCCCAAAATTGCTCCTGAAGCTCTTCAAGAATCACCAACCTAGGGCACATCTCTGGGATGCTGTCGCAGCGGAAGAACACACAGGTCTACCAGGTTCAAGTGGGTTTCTTGGCTTGCTGGAGCTGAGGTGTCAGGGCTTTAAGGGTTTTAAGGGTTTGGCTCAAGGGGTTTCGGGGTTTGGTCTACAAAGTTTCGCAGTTTTGGCTGAAGGCTTAGGGCTTTGGGCATTCAGGGGCTGGGGTTCAGGGTTCAGGGCTAGGGCTTTAGGATTAAGGCAGAGCTTAAATTAGATATCTAAGAAGAATTGCCATATACAGCCTTGCTGTACTGCATCCTTTCAACCCTGAAATTGGATCTGCCACTGTCTTGCCTCGAGTTGTTTGAGTATTCTTTGGGTTGGGCTCTTTAGTTGATTGGAAACCTTAGAATTTGCAGCTTTGGAGAAGCCGCGCAGTAAATTTCATCTGAGATCCATGGACTGTACTTGCTCAGCGACAGGTAGACAGGTATACCTCCCCCAAAAATAGTAGTTTCCATTTGTTCGGGGACCCCAGTATAGACCCAATTGTTGTATACTCCTCATTATTGGGACTCCCAAAAGGGGACCCCTAGGAGGACCCCCAGGACGCGGGATCCATGATGTGAGAAGTGGCACATACTCCCAAATAAACCTTACAATGTAGAGGGCCTATATGAGCCATGGTCTAAACTCCTTAAAGGGGGTTTTATATGGGATTAAATGTATGACTTCTATAGGGGTTATTAAGCTTGAGACTGTAGCTCATATGTGGTTATTTGAGAATTGAGTGGGCTTGAACCAGTCCTAGATTCCATGTGCAATTTTGGTATAAGGTTCCTCAAATATACCTGAACATGACGTTGGGCAACAGTACCCAGCCAGCCGAAATCCTAACCCTTGGCCTTCACACTGTACATGCCTAAGCGTAAACCTTGACCTTGTGCCCTTCCTCAACCATGATTACGCCATGGTTGGGCGCGATTTATGATATCCGGGCAACAGAAGGAATATTGGATGATAAGTTTTGTCCTATTCCTCCTTCCACCACTACTACTACTACTACTGCTGCTGCTGCTGCTGCTGCTGCTGCTGCTGCTACTGCCACGATCACTATCGCTGTCATCTCAAAGGAGGTATCAGCGAACCCAAGCAATCCAAGGCATGGGTGCCACCTTCTTCCTGGACCTCTGGCGAGCCGGGAAGATCGGAAAGGTCTGCCTAGACTATGTCCCTGATCCCGATGAGGTGCCTTGGCCGGTTTAGGTTTGGGTTGTATAGGTTTTCTTGGAGTTTAGGGATTTGGTTGTTGTAGCCCCACCTGCCTTTTTCGTTTGAGGATTCGGGGTGCGGAGTTCAGGATCCAGGGCTGAAGCAAGATCACAAAGTCAGCAGCCATTTACCCGTCCTGAAGATGCCAGACGTACAGTAGAAAGACGAATCTCTCTCTGATCTTATCCGTTTTCGCTTGCTCATTCGCATTTGTCGGCCCTTTTCTTGTAGGCTCATGGATCATTATAAGTTCAATTATAAGTTCAACTGTGTTTAGAGAGTTTTTTGAACCCCTATACCCTAAACCCTCTACCTTAAAACCCTAAACCCTAAAACCCTAAACCCTAAATTCTAAACCCCTAGGTGCAGCGATTGCGCCAGCTCCGCTCTCAGACGGAGCCTCCCGGCCCTTGGGGCCCGGCGTGCTGCCTGGACTGAACCGTGGAGAACTGGTTTATGGTTTAGGGTTTTGAGGTAGAGGGTTTAGGGTTTAGGGTGTATACAGGGATATGGGTGGTTGTCAAAATCATGGTCCCTTTTTGGGTACCCTAAATACTAAGTGCCGTACTATATTGGGTACCCGAAAAGGGCCCATGATTTTGACAACCACCCATATGCTAGTTCAGAATGCCCGCCGTCCCCAAAAGATTAGGGTTTAGGGATTGGGGTTTAGGGTTTAGGGATTCAGATTTTGGGTTTAGGATTCCCTGTTTAGTTAGGATCCCCTTTTAAGGAAATGTATTCCCAATGGTCTCTTCTTTACCAGGACCTTTAAAACAACCCCCATATGACAGGTGTAGAGGGCTTATAGAGGTAGATGCACGGAGACATATAGGGATTTATGGGCTTTAGGGGTTGAGGGTTTAGGGTCTGGATTTAGGGTTTAGGGTGTAAGCTTAAGGTTTAAGGTTCGGCGTAAGGTTTTCGAGTTCGGGTTTAGGGCTCAGGGTTCAAATTTAGGCCTGACGGGTCCAGGTTTGGTATTTAGGAGGGTTTAGGGTTCACTTTTTTGTTTTATGTTTCATGGTTTAAGGAAGTCTGATTAGGGGTACCTTTCTAAGGGTTGGGGATTATAGGGCGTATATAACGTTAAGGATTCTAGTAGGGTCCTAAACGTTGTCAGAGCAGTGGCGAACCAAATTGAAAACAACCTGGAAGATGATATCAACACTGGGATTGTACAAGGTTTCGAGGGTGTTTGAGGCAGAACCCGGAATAATCTCAAATGATCGGCAAATTACATCTTAAAGTACATGGAAAGTGAAACGAACACTGGGTCGGAATATACCACCCCAAACCCCTGCATATTGAACATGTCCCTACAATCCCTATACCATCCACCATGATTCTACTTCGCATTCATTTTCCATATTTGCTCTTCTAATTGAAGACTGCTTTCCCTAAATGGGGAGACCCCTAAGATAGACCCTCAAAATACCAGAATCCCCAACATGGGTTCTCCCCAAGAAGGTACCCCTAATTTTGAGAAACTCCCATGTGTGTTTGGGTGTTTGTTCATGCCTTATGTTGGAGTTGGCTGAAGCAGAGATCCTCAGCCCTAAACCCTAAGCCCGAAGCCCCAAACCCCTAAACGCCTAACCCCTAAGCCCTAAGCCCCAAGCCCTAAACCCCTAAACGCCTAACCCCTAAGCCCCAAGCCCTAAGCCCCAAAGCCGCCCTAAACCCTCAACGAATAGATCTAGGGCTTTCCAGAGACCGCGTGGTGGGTTTCTTACGTTTTCTTGCTGGGGGTTCGTCGGTGAAAAAGAGAATATAGTATATGGTGATTATATAGGGGTTATATTCCCTTGTTCCCTACTAACCCCCCAGGAAGTTTTGGTCTGCCAATTTGCCTGCATGGGGTTTGCGTCCCATGATGCATGATGAACCTCTGTTCTGAAGATTCTGCCCATACCGTCTGGGCCTTGATACATTACCTGTAAAGCATCAAGCGTCTTCATAGCCTGTGTCACAACAAGCCCGCTGAAACAAGGACAAACTTGATTTGCATGGCCCCTACAAGAACGCATCGAATTCCGTATGCTGGTCCGTCACAGGTCTTAGCTTGCTGGTGAACAAACGTGAGATCTCGCTGTAAACCCCCCCCAATCCCTTTGGATAATTTTGTGAACGTTGAAGCGCCCCCAGGCTATCCGGACGTGCCAGAAGGCTGCCGCAGCTGATAGTATTACTATGACTACTTCCACTGCTATCGCTCTTACAGATTCAGGGACTTTGAGATTCATCGCGTTGGGTGTCAGGATTCCGTGTTCAGTGTTGGGGAGGTTTCAAGATAAGAGGTTGCCCTCTTTGGACCTGACTTTGGATTGCAGTAATTGTGGGGTGAACCCTGCTACCTAAATCCTGAACCCTAAATCTATCGGGTTTAGACTTGGAATGACTTGGACAAGTCAGAGACTGCATTCAAAATACATTCTCGCAAACATGGTTTACGGATAGTGTCAGCACAACTTGGGGTCCCTATCTGGGGGTTGCCCAATATTAAGGGGTTTTGCGGGGATATACGGTTACTTGGGGGTTACTCAGGGTTTAGGGTTCCCCAAAAAGGCATAGGGTCCGTATACTAAGGATTATAGGATTTTGAGATCTATGTCGGGGCCCTCTTAATTATGAAAACTACAATATCTGTTGCGAAGATGTTGCACCACATGTGCAATAGCAAGGGGCATGTGCTTGGCTGAAGCACATAGAAGTGAGTGCAAGAAGTTGCTTTCGACCCAGTGAATTGCAAAGAGCCCTGGAAATCCCATCGTGCCCGTGCTAGGTCTGTGTTCCCCCCTAAGCAGTGAGCCCTGAAGCACTAGACCTGAAACCATGGCGCCCCTAAACCCCGCAGGCCCTGAACTCTACACCCAAACCCTGCACTTTCAAGCAGTGCTACTGAGAGGCCTTGAGCTGGATCGGCGAGGTCCACTGCTTCCTGAGAATTTCGTGGTGCAGGGTCGGCACACGGCTACGGGGAAAAAAGAGAGCTGCAGGATGCGGATTTTGGAGTTTAGAGTTTAGCCTGTACAGGCTTCTAGACTAGGAGTTCTTTTTTCAAGGGTTCTGGCAGCAAGATCCATAGTATCGTGGGCTCCTGGGCACATTTGGGTCTTGGGATGTAATTGGGCGTTCTTGATACAAGGGGTCTTCTAGGGAGATAAGGAGAAGCATGCGTAATTCCGAGATTGTAGTCCTTTCCTAGAGAAGCCGCGACGCACTGCAGGACCCAGAATGGGACTGTGAGAGAACCATGCGGTCTATTTCATGCTCCTGAAATAAAGCTCAATGAAATTTGTGAAGGCATTCTCGTATCTGCTAGACAAAGCTAGCATCTAATCCCAACTTCAGAGAACAGTACTAAAGAGTCTCCACAGCTGTTTCCCGCCTCTCCAGTCCTTTCTTACCCTCGGGGAAGAGTTGTGACGGGGACCTGTCTAAGAGTCCCCTCCCCCAGTTGTAAGTGAGCATCAGACACTAAATTCTAAACTTTCCAAGCCCTCGCCGTCATTCCGGCACCGTAGACTTGGGTAAGCCCTAGACCCTTTAAACCCTAAACCCTCACACCCTTCAATTTAAACCCATAAATCCCTTCAAATCCTGTACACCCTTTGATCTCTTTAAATCCTTCAAGCCCTTGAAACCCTTGAAACCCTGTAAACCCTTGAAACCCTAGACTCATTGAACCCTGAACCCAAATCCCTGAAAGCCCTGAACCCTTTGAACCTCAAACCCTAAAACCCCAAACCCTAAATCCTACACCCTAAATCCCTGAATCCCTAAACCCTAAACCCTGAACTCTAAGAACCCCA